GCAACATGTGAGGGCACTACCGCTAAAATATCAAACGCGGTGGGCCGTAGATCTAGCACGATCACCCAGACTATGGTGGGCTAAGATGGAGACCTGTCTCTTATACACATCTAGATGTGTATAAGAGACAGATGTTAAATTCCGCCGTCTTCCTCTTCCATCTCCCCTCTACTGGTCATGGCGTCCCTCATTCCTTGTCCTCCTTCTCCGCTATCTTACTGGTGGTCATTTTGCCTTGCCGAGGAAGAAGCATGAAGAGTGGAGGAGAATAGTAAGCGGATTGATAACCACATCGCATCCTTTGCCTTGCCGAGGAGGAAGCATGAAGAGTGGAGGAGAATAGTAACCGGATTGATAACCACATCGCATCCTTCAGGGCGGTTTCTCTACACCGTTTTCAATTTTCAACAGAACGATAACAACTTCGAAAAACTACCGTCCGCTAAATATGCACACTAGAGGATATTATTGCGGCGGTAGGACTTTCCTCGATGTCTCTGACCACAATTACCACCGGTCCTGCGGTATTTTGACTCGCAATAACGTCCAACCCATCTATCAGTCGGAAACGTCCTACCAGTGTCAGTCCTTGGGCCCTAGAACCCAAGTTCGAACTCAGCTCAAATAAGACGTCCAAGTGCACATATACACTCTTATGGTTTTTACCTTCCAGCTCTGTGAAATCCGCAGATTAGAAGAGAGAAAAGTGACAATCCAGTAGACATCAAGAAAGAGGGCATCGAGAGGTGCTCTGCCGGTGAGCTACAACCCTTGATTCTTTCTTTTTTTTTAACAGTCCTTTTCTTCTTCAACGGAATTATAAGAAAAACAAAAAAAGCTGTCAATCAGCACGTAGACTTCATTAAAAAAAAAAAAAAAAAAAAAAAGAGCACGGAAACTTCATTGAAAAAAAAAAAAAAAGAGCACGGAAACTTCATCTGCTCCAAAGTGATAGAGGCCGAGAGAAGATTGTGGTGGAAGGGAGGGAAGCGAGGAGAGAGATCAGGAGACGGAGGAGGAGGAGGAGGAGGAGGAGGAGGAGGAGGAGGAAGATTGCATCCGGGACGGGAAAAGGAGCGGAAGGGCAGGGAGGATAACCGAGGAATGGAGAGGAGAGAGCATAGGGAGGAGAGGAGGGGGGG